AAAAAAAAAAAAAAAGATGTGGAGAGAGACTGTAAACCTCCTACTGTTTGTTCCCTTAGCAAAAGGATCTCCTAAGGGGAGAAAAAGACCTCATGTCACGACTGAAGAATGAACCAGAGGCCAAAGAGCAGGGGTAAAGGCACGTCTCTGAGCAGGGAAAGTGGCAGCAGCGCTGTCTGAACACCCAAGGCTGGCAGGTGGGGGGGCAGCTCACCTACTGGAGCGAACTCTTCCTGCTCTGGTGCTGCATGCAGCCCGCGCGGCATCCTCTAGTTCTTTGAGAATGATCCTCATGAGCCTGCTGACTTCCTCCGCACACCCACCGAGACCTTGTAGTCCCACCCACAGAGCCTGACTTGACGACAGAGAACAGGAGGCCCTGAGGTGACCTCCCTGAGGGCTGAGCATCTCCATGCCCGCCCCAAATGGAGTTGGCCTTTTGGGGCACTGTGCCCCATGCCCATACCAGCTTCCCGATGCAAAGGGGCAGCACAGGGAAGAGCAGGAGACCTGACCTCGGCAGGCAGGAACTGGGTTCTGGTGCTGGCTATTCCGGAAGTCATATGAAAATGGACAAGCCCTCCACCAGTGCACAAAAGGGCTGCTGGCCTCATCTCTCAGACTCTCAGTTTCCTCTTTTAAACACCATAGAACATGGAGGTTAAAAGATGGGCTCTGGAGTCAGACGGCCCCAATCTAGTGTTCATTAGCTGTGTTAACTTGTGTTAATTATTTAACTTCTTGAAACCTCATTTTTAGTTATCTACAAAATGGAGATAATAATACATACCCCATGAAGAACTATGAAAACTCAGTGCCCCGTGATGGTGTGCACTACTGCCTATCATAACGCAGGGAGAGAGTTGTCTTCCAAGACACAGGTATTGATAACTCATCCTCCCCATTTGTAATGAAGACATTATTAGTAAACATCTCATGAAAATATATACCAGACTGATTGAAACAATGTCAGAACAGAGAGTCACAATTCAATTAGTAAAAAAATAACAGAAGTGAAATACTGTGACACATGAAATGTACCTTGAACAGGAATTTCCCCATAGTTTGGTCTCTTATCTGACAGGGCTGTCAGGGGTTTGGATGTAGAGATTGGTCCACTTATGGAATGTCTCTGAAATAATAAGATAAACTGTTGTCAAAGTCAGGTTAAATTTAGAGCTGGGACTCACAAAGAAAGTAAATGTTGCAGAGTAAATAATTATGAACTTGCCTAATTCCTTACCTACTGTTACTGTAAGACAAACACACACACACCCCTCACCAGCATACAAATGTGATCAATATACTACTTAGAAACTAAGAAAGATCGCATGTGCCCTTCCCTCCGTTTTCCCCAGTGGTAACAATTCTAGGATAGTGTCACCACCAGGATATTGACACCAACACAAAGAAGACATAGAATGTTCTTGTCACAGTTTACAGTGCACCTTCCCCCAAGCCCACCCTGTATCACCAACCCCTGGCAACAACTGCTAATACTCAGAGTGTGATCTCATTGTTTTGTTTAAAGAGAATTCTTAAGTATCATATACCATTTAGTGAAATACAGATGTGCTCCTACACACCACTGTCCAGCATAACCTGTCTTTTTAACTCGGCACCACTGAATGGCTTTGTCACAGGAGTTCTCATCCCCAGTCTTACGCATGTATCTCTCGGCATGCAGCCAGAAGCGGCCACCACAATCTTAAACCTCGCAGTTCTGCTTCATGTACCGCCATCTCTACGCAATGCTCAAACACCAATAAACTGCTGACGCCCACAGAGGCCACGCCATTTACTGTCTCTGCTTTTTCTGATGCTCTTTTCCCCAGCTGTTCCCCAGGCCATTTTTATCTACCTAATGTCTAACCACTCATTTCACGTTCCCAGCAAAAAGGTATGAGAGGTCCAGCTTCTCCACATCCTCACCAACACCAGATAATGTCTTAACTTTAGGGATCCTAAAGGGTATGTAGTAGGATCTCGTGGATTTGGTTGTCAAAGCTAATGCGTTGAGCATTTTTCCATGTGTTTTTTGGCCATTTGTGTATCTTCTCTTGGGAAGGGACTTTTAAAATCTTCTGTCCTTTATTTATTGGGTTGTCCTCAACCCCAATAAGACAAACAAGGCTTTTTTGAGTACAAGTCTTTTGACAGATAAATGGATTATGAATATATATTCCCCAGCCTGTAATTTATCTTTCATTTTCTTAATGTTCTTCCAGAGTTGTTTTGAGTTGTGATGCCCAATTTATCACTTTTCTTTTACGGTTCATTCTTTCTTGTGTCCTAAATAAGAAATCCTTGCCTTCTCAAAGGTCATGAAGAGTTTCTCTACTGTTTTCACCTAGAAGTTTTAAAGTTTCAGCTTTCACATTTAGGTCTTCAGTCACCTTCAATTTTTATAAATGGCATGAAGTGAAGGTTGCGTTTCCCACCCCCGCCCCCATATGGATATCTAGCTGTTCCCAAATTCTTCATTGAAAAGGCTATCCCTCTCCCACTGAATTACCTTGGTGCCTTTGTTGAAAATAAACTGACCCATTTCTAGATTCTCCATGTGGTCTACTGATCTCATGTCTACATTTAAACTTAAGTCAGTAAGTACCACACTATCTTGATCACTCTAAGAGCTGAGATCAGTCTCCAAATTTGTTTCTCTTTTACCCCCAGATGCTTTGGTTATTCGGGATCCTTTGAGTTTCCATACAAATTTACAATTACATTATCAATTTCTACAAAACAATGTGTGGAATTGCAACTGGAATTGTATTGAATCCACAGATCAGTGTGAGGGAGAACTCTAAGATGTTACCAATATTGAATCTTCCAATCCATGAATATGATGCATCTTTCCATGTATTACTCTTTTAATTTCTCTCAGCAATATTTTAGTTTCCATTGTTCAGGTTTTGCACAACATTTTATTAAACATTGCTAAGTATTTCAATTTTCAGTTGTTTACTGGAGTCACTGTATCTAAGAGACATCAAAAGGTGTACTCACGACAGAAGCCAGTCTTTTTATATACCCTTATCTAGTGACACCCCATCACTTCTGCCACACTCTGTTCACCAGAAGTGAGTCATCAAGTCCAGCCAACACTCAAGAGGAACAATTCACACAAGCACATGAGAACCAGGAAGTGCGGATCACTGGGAAGCATTTCAGAGGCTGCCTTCCCCAGCTACGCAGGGATCTCCCTGGTCCTTCTGAGGCTCATTTTTAAGGTCTTTTTTTGGGGGGGGGGGTCTAGAATAGTGTTTATCTAACACTATTTAGTTCCGCTTTACAGTGTGACCCTTAAGGGTCTCTAATGAACGCTCCAAACGTGCAAAGAGGTCTCTCCACAGTGGCCAGTGCGAGACCCAACGATTCCCCACCCTGTGTGAACTATGGGAAGTGGCTGCAGCTCCCTGTTGTCTGTTTTCTCTCTCAGACGCTGTTCTTGCCTGGCCTTGTACGGGTTCGCCCTGTGCCTGTGCAGACTAGTATTCAGGCACAGTATCAAATGAATGCCTTTGTGGGGTTCTAGACCCCTTTCTCTGCAAGCTCCCCCGCCCCCAGTACTGTGCCCTGCACATGCTAGCACTTTCCCTCCCAGAACACTGAGCTCTTGTCTCCCCTCAGATCCAGTTGGTTTCCCTTCCCTGCTCCATCTGGGTCCCTGCACAGCCGTCGGAAAGCTGCCAACGGGAACAGTACGGGCCACAGCAGTACTTACCTCACTTCTTAACTTTTTATTTCATGGATCATGATTTTATACTGCTTGTTGTATCACATCTGGATATATTTGCTCCCTCTATTTTGTCCAACTTTCTAGTTGCTTGTGAAAGCAGAATAATCCAGCCCATTATTCCCTCAGAGCCAGAAGTGGAATTCCCACTCAAAGGAATTCTGAAAAACTAACGATCCCAGTCTTGAGCCCTGCTCCCCAGCAACTGTTGTCCAAGTAGGATGAGGCCTGGGAATCTATGTGTTTAAAAACTCTACATGATTTTCATGCACAGTTAGGTTTGAGAAGCACTGTGTAAAATCAAGTATTAAAACACTACTGAATGTGACTTGTAATTATTCACTTTTTTTGAATTACAGAGATAATTTTCACCCATCTTTATGAAGATTTATACAATGATGCTTCGTACATTAAACTTTGAAAATACTACTTAAAGAAACTTCAGCTAATTTGAAGTTTATTATATTTTGCACCTTTATTTTGCTTTACTTATATCCTGAAGTTTTAGAAAAGGTTTAACAGAGAGCATATAAAAAGCATTAAGTCTGTAGATGGAATATGGAATTCCCCTTTCCTTCCTTTTAAATTAAGAGTGTAGGGAGCCAAGATGGCTGCGTGAGTAGAGCAGCGGAAATCTCCTCCCAAAACCGCATATATTTTTGAAAATACAACAAAGACAACTCTTCCTAAAAGAGTGCAACACCTTCTATATAAATGCAAAGCCACTAACTTGCAACATTACAAATGCAAAGGGAGCACATTTTTACCCTAAACTTGACAAAGGAAAAAGTTTAAAAGTCCACTCACAAAATACACGGTTAACACAGCACAAAAGTCTCCACTGCAAGGGAATGTTCCCAAACCCTCATATAATTTTAGGAAGGCCTCCCTATATCATAGGATGCTAGGATTTAGGCCATTTTTCTTTGGCTACTCTCACTTATGTGGAAAAACTCCACCTCGGCTACCCTTCCAAACACGGATTACAAGTGGGAGGGCCTCCTGGGCACTACGGAGAGACAGCCCTCTGCCCTGCTGCTCTGCGCTTCCACAGTGGCAACAAGAACAGCTTCTGAGACCTGTTTACAATGGATCAGCAGCGCTCCCTGCCAGGCTGCTACGGAACGGCCCACAGTGAATCACACTTCTTAAATGCACGACCCGTACAGGCCCTGTCACTCGGAATCGGAGCGGGCCTTAGGACTTATTTGGATCAAAATAGGACAGAAGTGACTGTCCAAGTTCCAAGCCCAGGTCTTCAGAGGCTTTGCTCACTTCCACTTTCATTCTCTCAGAGCTTAAGACACATGCCATGAAGGAGCCTGAGAGGAAAGACCACACAGAAAGAGCAGCCCAGGCCCCAAGCCCAGCCTCTGGCTGAGTGCAGCTGAAGGAGTGAGCCTCAGAAAAGCCAGCAAAGAAATGTCTAGTCAAGAGAGAACTGCGAAAAATAACTAAATTGCTGTTTTAAGCCAGCAATTTGCTGAAGTGATGTGCTATGCAGCAGAAGCTAAAACATGCCAACTACATAATCTACTTAGAGAGAGGTCTGTGAAGTCTTCACTGCCCAGGTTTGAGTCCCAGACCTACCACTTCTTAACTATATGACCCTCAGCACGTTGCTTAACCTTTCTGGGCCTCAGTTTCCACATGTGAAAACTAGGGACAGGAAGAGTACCTAACACCCAACAGAGCTGTTGTGAGTAAATGAATGAACAGTATAAAGCATCTGAACAGTGTAGAACTCTTACTGAATGTTCAATAGTTGTTACCTATCACTATTATTAGAGATTTTCAGAAGAATAACACAACTGATATTTACATAATTTATATCAATTAAGGATAATTAGAGTATTTCAGGGAAAAAAAATCCCAACTATAACCCTCATGAGGTAGTCTTTTGCCACCACAACATCATTGTAGTAACTCTGAAGAGGACTAACTCAAAGACGTGAGGCCCCTAGAGCCGCCATGGCCACAGGCACTTACCTGCATAGGGGAAACTGCTGCTGCAGGGGGGGTTTTCATAGGACTTGGACTCAGAGGCGTTCGAGGAATTGCAGCTGCCGTAGGATTTGGTCCTACCAAAACAACAAAGAAAGATTAAATAATGAATACATCGTGGTACAGTGGGAGCTTGCAGAGCTGCTCTCCCCTTAAGGGTTCCCCAGAGTAACCGAGGCTCCCCCTGCCCTGGAAACTGTCCTGGCTGATGCGTACTGCCACGGAACACCCACAGCTGGGCCCAGCACTGCTGAGTCTCTTGCCACCCCACCAGGTGAATCGTTTGTTTCTAGAGTAGCGGTGATTATTTCCAACCCTGGCTATGGCAGTCATTTTATATTTGCCATTTAATTATCTTAGGTGGTTAAAGCGCTCCATAAATCAATGCAATTCAAGTGCAAAACAACCCAAGAGGAGCACTTCCAAAACTGCAGCCGGTGAGAAGCCGCACACATGGCGGGTGCTCACTAACTATTAAACAAAGGAATGCTGGGCTCGCATTCACCTTTCTCCACCTCCGCCAGCGAGTTCATCACTTCACAAGTGTTTTCTGGCTTATATTAAAGGCATGGATGTGTGACTGTTTGCTCCCAGGCCAGTCTCCCTCTCTAGACCGGACTGTTCAAAAGCTGGATCCATAATTCATCCATTTCTGAATTCTAGTAGAGGGGGCATAAAAAGAGTTCCTTATTTGAAGCTAAGCTAAAACAAAAATGGGACACACAAGTGGAATCAGGCACATCTCACAAGTGGGGCAAAACGGGGGGGGCACTGCAGGCCACTGTGGGCTTCATGAGGCCGGGTACTCACAGCTAGAGCTGTTATTTTAGGATGTGCTTTTTGAGATAAAATTCATATAATATAAAGTCAACCATTTTTAAATGTGCAAATAGCACTTAGTACATTCACAATATTATGTAACCATCATCACTTCTGCCTAGTTCAAAAAAATTTTCATCACCCCAAAAGGAACCCCAGTACTTATTAAGCAGTCACTCCCCATCTACCTCTTCCCCTAACCCCCTAGCAACCACCAAGCTGGTCTCTGTCTCTGAATTTACCTATTCTGCATTATTTCATACTAACATAATCTTACAACATGTGACCTTTTTGCCTGGCTTCTTTCACTTGGTGTGTTTTCAAAGTTTATCTGCATGACAGTACATATCAGTACTTCCTTCCTTCTCAGAACCAAATAATATTCCATTGTACGGATACAAATCATTATATTCATCCACTGATGGATGTTTGGGTTGTCTTCACATTTTGGCTATTGTGAATAGTGCTATTATGAACACCTGTGTACACGTAAACACCATTTGCTTCTTTTGCATATATATAACCAGGAGTGAGACTGCTGCGTCATTTAGATGTACTTTATTATAAAATATTATCTTTTTTAAAAGATCAGTATAGAAAGAGATTATCTTTTTTGCATTAAAGCCTTTTTTATTAATATTTTGAAAAAATGCATGATTTAAATTTAGTGTAGACATTCCGTAATTTTATTTTAGAAGTATGTATTTTTTTTAAGTACTCCTTTCATCTCAGCCCATCATATTTCCCAGGGGTAGCCACTAACAGCAGTTCCAAGTGCATCTTTCTTATACTTTCAATGCAGGTATCCATGTACTTTAAAAAAGAAAATGAGATCATAGTATATAATACTGGTCTGCAACTTGCCATGAAGGCTTACAGGCCTATTTTAACATCAGTACTTTGAGCTCTACCTCCTCCTTATTAAAAGAGGCATAATATTCTGCTGTGTTAACGGATAATAACTGACTTAATCCTTTTAGTGGACATTTAAGCAATTTCCAGGTTTCCCTTTTCTTTTCCAAACAGTGCCACATACTGAAAACCTATATTTCTACTTACCATTATACATTTGGGCCAGTATTATCACAAGAACGCTGAGGTCTGTGAATATTGCATTTTAAACTGGAAGATATTGCCTACCTACTTTCCTAAATATCTGTACCCACAGGGTATTTGAGTATACAACTGACTTTTGCTCTGATTTTAAGAAAAAGAAAATTAGCTTGTATATAATCACAGAATATAGTTTCTAGAAAATCTACTCTTATTAGAGAAAATCAGAAGAAAGCCTATCATAAAATTTAAAGTACTTCCAGCAGAACGTTTAAGATTTAGGACACATTACACTTAGTTGTTTTACACAAACTACATCTTTTTCCCTTTCCCAAAGCTGAGGAAGTTAAGAGAAATGAAAAGCAGCCAGTCATTTGAAGGTGGAGAGGGCGAGCTTCCAGGCAGAAAAGACCTTGTGTGACATGAAAACCTGGCTTATTCCAGGACCCGAAGAGCAGAGGGCAGGGGAAGAGTGGTTCAAATGAGGTAAGAGGAAGGGTCAAACCATGCAGGCATCTGGGGATCTGAATTCCATTCTAGGCAGTTAAAGGCTTTTAAGCAAGAAAAGATCTTTTTTATCATGAAATAAAGGGGGAGACTAGTCAGGTTACTGAAATTGGCAGCTGATGACAGCTTGAGAACAGATGATTAGTGAATACGACTGGCAGCTGATCACTCCACTAGAGACGGAGAAAAGAGGCCTGAGCAAAGATGCACATGCGGGAAGCTGGGTCAGGAAGACTTACTAATGAATCAGATGCAGGTTTAAGGAAGAAGGAAGAGTCCTGGATGTCTGGCTTAAGCAACCAGGAGGAGTGGTGCTGACATTTACATAGGGGAAAGACTGAAGCTAAGGGACAAGAGTCTGGTTTGGGACTTAAAAAGAGGTCTAAGAGACACCCGAGCGTCAATGTCAAGTAGGCATTTGGACTTACAGACCTCAAGGAGTTCAGTGGAAGGGAAAGGGCATAAGTTATACATCTGGAAAGTTTTCAGGCATAAAGAAGATATTCAAAGTCACTGGATCATGTGAAGACGCATCTCTGCATAGGGTACGGCACAAGTCTGAGCCCAAGATCTCTGAGGCTGAACAGATCGCAATCTCCTGCTAAAATCCACCTTAGAGTAAGACTAATTCACATCAAACCAGGCCAGAGAACAGATGATTAGTGAACACGACTGCCTGCCCTTGGTACACTGCGTAAGAATTACCTTGAGATGCACTGTCGAAGGACTTGATGAGGGTTTTTACCGTAGGCGTTGGCTCAGAAGAGGTTGAAGACCTCCTACTCAGCCCCATCCCTTGCCGTAAGGCTGCCAAATCTCTCTCAACAGCATTCATGTAGTTATACACCCGGCCTCGCTCCTCTTCTTGCCTGAAAACAATATTGAAATCAAAGAATTTTTACATATATACTAGAAAATACACATTTTCCCCTCCTGACTGAAAAGCATTAAAATGTATCAGTTGAAAAAAAAAAAGGATCTGGTGAGCTGAGTAAACTACCTAGTCTAATATTCTCATTTGCTTGGTCAATTCCAGGAAATGACATTATAATTTTTATATCAGGTTATTTTAAGTAGGTTAAATAACCATCAGATTCCATTTTCTTCTGAGTAGGCATAAGGTGAGGACGTCACTAATCAATTGGCAAGCAGTAAAATAGCAGGCAGACTGGCCAAAGATCCCGACTGCTCAGAGTCAGGCATCTCGAGGTTCTGTGCTGCAGAGAAGCCCGGCTCTTCTCAGGGGAGTCTGGGAATTCACCTGTACATATGAATAGTCTACATGAATATACCATGCACAGATACGGAAATACAAAGAAATGAAATAAAAACTCATATTCTTAAACAAAAAAACAAAAAACTGCTGTAGTCTCCAAACAGAGTTTCTACAAAGGAAAAAAAAGCCTGGGCCCATATTAGTAACATGAGTCTCCTAGATGCTCAGTGTTATGGATAGTGAGTCATCCAAAAAAATCAATTCCATTTCATTTCTGGGCAGCTCTAGCTCACTGATCTGACTAACACAAAAATGTTCATCTGGAATGAGATTTCAGTTGCAGAGTTTGTATGTCATCTAACTATCAAGTAAGTTTATAGGTGGACAAAAACTAAGCCAGTTCTGAGGAAAATCTGTCTCTGGTGGCCACTTGGCTCTTCTAACAGGAATTTCTGCTTCGGCGCGTACCAGTGGGTCTCAGGCTCAGGAGCCGCGGTAAGTGAGAATGTACAACAGCGGTTATCAGACCTTTTGGTCTTAAGAGTCCCTTTCTACTCTTAAAATTACTGAGAACCCCAACTAGTTTTTACTCATGTAGGTTATATTTACTGATACTTCCCATATTAGAAATTAAAACTAAGAAACATTTAAGATATTTAATTCATCTGAAAAGAAAATAAACCTAGGACTTACTAACATACTTTATGAAAAATAATTATTTTTTTTAAACAGCAGTGTTTCTAAAATTTTGTGGCCTTCTTCAATGTCTGGCTTAACAGAAGACTGATAGATTCTCATTTCTTCTATATTCAATCTATTGTGATATGAAAAAAAGCAGGCCTTGCACAGACATGTAGTTGGAAAGGGGAAAAATATTTTAACTGTGGCTTTTTAGTTAACTGAGGCTATTCTTCCTTGATATTACAGCAAAATGCAACAAGTGGTACTTACTTATAAGTTTAGCTACAATGTGGAATTGGGAATCAGATGAAAGAACTTCTCCTACTATGTCCATGAAAATCCCCTCGTCTATCTTGTACTTCGAATGGATTTTTCCCTTCATACGTGATCATGTAACATCATGCTTCAGTCATACGGAAAATATTTTCCAAATGTTGACGCTTGTCATTATATAGTTTTTTAAAAGTCACATGTGTTAATATCTCAATGATCTCATCAGAAATGCTTTAAATATGGGAAGCTGCCAATCTCACAATGGCAAGTACAAGTTTTCCAAAATCCTAACATTCACTCAAAAGCCAAAATTTTATCAATGACAATAAATACTGTCAGTTATTTTCCTTCAAGTGACAGGCTCTCTTAATCATTTACAAGAAATGTCCACCAAATACCAAAGTCTGAATATACATAGTTTATCAGTCATTCTCAAGAAAAAAATGGCGTTCCATGAAAAAAAGAAAACCGCTTAAACTGAAACTATCCCGGAGTACTTTCTTCAAGACCAACCACCCCTGGGTCCCCAGCAGATACAGCAGGAGTACTTGGTGCGCACTTCCCACTCATCACACAGAATGGTAAAGAGCAAACTCAAGATCAAGGTTTTGTAAAATTAGTAATTTACTGCTTTATAATGTTCAATTTACTGTCTCAGATGTTCAAGGACATCTTTAAGTGAAATTCTGCATTTTTTAAAATCCAAGTGTGTGGTGGTGAAGAGTACAGGTGACTGTGAGTGTAATCTGGTGCCAAGGCCTTGATCCATCAACAGTTTGATTTTGCTTTTCACCAGCAAAAGGCACGGTGAAAGGGCAACTAACTTGCCAGTATTACGGAGAAAATAGTTTGACTTTGCAGATCTGCTGTAAGGGTCTTAGGGACTCCCTGGGGTCTGCAGACCTCATCTGAAGAATCACTGCCCTGCAAGATGCTACTTCTTTCGTATGTGCCTTAGAGACTGACAAGTTTTCAGGATCCAATGGGAATGATTCTTTAAAAGTAGAATTGTAGTCACTCCGGTAATCTTTAGAATGGAGCATTTCTGATACACTACATAACAGTATACAGAAAAAAAGGTCATGAGTTTTCTATTAGTAGAGTATGAATGTGAGTTTTATACCAGCAGAGAAACAATAATCTTCTACTTCATTCTGTGTTCTGTTTAAGGAAGCCAAAGAAAAATGGCTTACTTCTCTGGACCATACACTGGAGTTAGTTAAATAAGATAATTAAACAATTAAATAGAAAACAGCTTTTCAAAAATACCCTGTTAAGTATTTTTCTAAATTCTTTTCCTATGTCTATTTATTTACTAAAAACAGTGAATAATCAAATTCTTACTAATAACTTCAAACATAAAAACTACTCTCCCCAGTCACAGATGAGAGTCTGATTGAGGAACTCAGGGCACACCACAGATTTCATCTCATTTAATACTTTCTATGTGCTTCCAGTGATCTGTAGGTTAGATGGGAAAAAATACTGTGGAGATTCATGTAGTTATAAGCAAAGAACAAGTAAAAACCACTCAAGTCAGTGATGGAGAGAAACTGTGCGTTTGTTACAGGGGCCTCTGACGGCATGGACGTGTACCTACTCGTCACTTCCCTGAGTCCCTCACAGCACTGCAAACATCTTTTAAAGATGAGCGAACCAAAGCTTGGGGAGGTAAGGGCCCTGACCAAGTTCACACAGCCAGGAAGAGGCAAAACTAGATGGGAACCAAGCCTGCCTGCCTCCAGAACACACGTCCCTAGCCAGAGGCTGTGGTCCAAACAGGGCTAGAGGGTGGGGACAGCGGAAAGGGGAGAACCACAGTGCACTCTGGTGCGAGGGACCATTTAATTTTGGTTCTCCCCCAGAGTTACTGATTATGGACACTGACTACAACATGGAAAGATCCGTACAGACTGTGCTATTTTACAAGTGTCATAAAAGGAGGCCAGAGAAGTCGATAACTTCCATTAGATCCGAACTCAGTCATACTAGTATCAAACCCCATGTTCTTTCTATAATACCGCATCACAAGACTGTGATATAAATGCTTTCTATTCAAACAACTGGTTTCTGAAAACATACTTGCGTGACTTTATTTCTTCCAATTCTTTTGTGAGTTTCTCATTTTTTTCTTGAGCCTCATGCAATCGGCGCTTCAAATCACCAATCTCCTCTTGGGCTTCAGATTTAATGTCATTTGCAATAACCACTGCAGTCTGGAGATCAGCTTGAAACTGCCGCCATTCTGCAGATTCTTCCTATATTAAAAAACTTAATTTTTATTTCTAAAAGAGAGCAATACAAGCTTTTTAAAAAACAATAAAATGTGTTTATGATTAGATTGCTACAATGCACCGTCCCAAATGATGATTAATTTCCTTTAAATTCCAGAGAATTGCTATAACCTGTTTCTAACAAGTAATGCAATTATTATTAGTGACCCTGTTCTTGATGAGGAAAAGATTTTCTGGTTGACCTGTCTACTGAGCACCAAGCACTCAAGAGCGCCCTACACATGTTAAGGATGATAATGTCAAACCTCCCTTCCTGTGCAAGTTTTAAAGTCTCATGAAAATGAACATGTTATCCAAAATTTATAGTGCTTTACCTCTGAAAAGCTCAAGAAGGTATATAAATGGTAAGTGAACCATACTGAAAGATTTTATAGTGGAAAACCATAAATATCCTGACATCAAAAATGAACAGGAAAAAAATTCAAAAGTACAGGAAAAGGAAGAGGAAGCCAGAAGAAAAACACTAATCTCAATCTAGACAGACAAAAATCATACAGAGGAGGAGCTAAGGAGCTGTATGGTCCAGTGCTTCCCACAGCCACAGAGGATGCAGGTGTGGCTGGGTGGGGAAGCCTCCCCAGGGCGTCACCTCCACGGGAGCCACAGCTGCCCACTTCCGCTACCCCAAAGCAATTTTCTGACACCATGAAGGCAGCCTGGACAACTGAGGCATGACCCACACTATAAGACTAGTGCCTCCAAATCTGTGTGTCATGAAGGGCACTGCTACAGGCAAGCTGATCAAATCCACAAGAGACAGAAAACCCATATAAAAAGAGCTTAGTTCGGGACACTTTGTAATGAAGAGCTAATAAACTTCCTGTCCAAAATACAACACTTGTCCCCAAAATCCATCTTTCTAAAATTACTAGTACTGAATTACCAGTACATTCTTCTGCCCAGAATCTAGCACATTGCAGTTTGGAAGGGTGCAATTTGCCTTCTGCTCAAAGCCCAGTGGGGTCCGTATTAACTGTCTGAAGCTTACGGTGAAATATAACACGGTCAGTGACTACACAGAAACTCAACTTGCAGAGACTATGTTTTCTAATGAGGTAATACATAAAGATTTATCCTACCCGAAGCCTCCTGTGCAATGTCTTGATTTCTCTTTCCATGTCATGTTTTTGGTCCTGGAGTTTTTTAACTGTATCTGAAAAGACCACAAAAGTTTAAATATTTATTCTCAGAGATGTGTTCAAAAGCAATAATACAAAGAGAAGAGGTACTTAAACATGACATTCAAAAAAGTCACCCTATCCAAAGACTTTTTATTTTTAATACAAAACTTTAAAAGAAAAAGGAATGTTCAATCCAAATATTAACCGTTATTATTTTCTAAGGAAAATATTAAATTTAAATCACAATTTCTGGATTATTTCCTTCCTCAATGTGTTAATTCTGAAACAAAAAGTTAAGTAAAATCAACTGTCAGAAACACATTGTTGGCTCATAACCAACCAAAACAACATTAGCTGCCATTAAAATGTGAACTTGTAATCAAAAGGTTACTATTCTAAAGTATTTATGCAAGCATGACTTACTTTCACACACTGAGATATAAATTCAAGGAAAGTTGTGAATTAATAAAACTTTTACAAACTCAATGAACTATATAATACACTAGGGAGCTGTTATTTACATTAATTCTATGAAAAAGTTTGTACAAAATAAAGGATGTATTTATCAAGTAAATCAACACTGCTCAAATTATTTCTTGCATAATACGATTTTCTTCGAACAATTTCCTTCACCATAAACATTTAGTGAGCACCACTAACATATGAAGTACTATTGTAGACAGAGTGAGGACACGGTGATGATGGCACAGCCAAGGTCAATGCCTTGGAACCAGAAATATACAGAGAAGTCATATTCTATTTGGAGGCTCAGCTCAAAATCCCATGCTTAAGGTGAAACACCTTGGAAGGTGCCTGCTGGTAACTGCACTCGGACGTCTCTCACAGGCGGTACTTCAACGGCCCAGGAACCAATCACTTTCTCTTTAGTGGGGCACCAGCAAAGGCACTTAGATCTGGTGACAAATACTCAGGCTTTACCTACTGCCTCCATTGGCAGACAGCTCTGTCCTTTCTGTTCCAACTCCGCCTATGCAGCCTTGTAACTGTTGCTGCCAACACGACCACAGGCCTACCTTGGAGATACTTGCAGGTTCATTTGCAGACCATCTCAGGAAATAAAATATGACAATGAGGTGAATGTTGCAGTAAAGAAATAAAGCAAGTTGGTAAGTTTTCTGGTTTTCCAGTATGTATAGAAGTTATATTTATACTCATTGTAGTCTGTAAAGTGTGCAAGAGGGATATGTCTAAAAAACAATGTACATAACAATTAAAAAACACTTTATTGCTGAAAATAAAAGCTAACCATCATCTGAGCTTTCAGGGAAGTGTAACCTTTTAGCTGTTGTGTCTTGCCTTAATGTTGATGGCTGCTGACTGATCAGGGTGGTGGCTGCTGAAGGCTGGGGTCGCTGTGGCCATTTCTTAAAATAAGACGACAATGACATTTGCCATATTGACTGACTCTTCCTTTCACTTGAACACTTAGAAGCCATTGTAGGGTTATTAACTGGTCTTATTTCGATATTGTTGCATCTCAGGAAATAGAGAGGCCCCTGATGAAGGGGAGAGACTCGTGGTGGTGGGGGTGGGGATGGACAGCTGGTTTTTGGAGCAGCTGAACACACAGACCTTCAGTCTACCATTTTTATGCATACAGTTCATGGTGGCCAAAAACAATTACAAAGGCAACATTAAAGATCACTGATCATAGATCACCGCAACAAATATACTATTAATGAAAACATCTGAAATACCACAAGAGTTACCAAAATGTGACACAAAGACACAAAGTGAGCAAACGGTGTTGGAAAAATGGCACCGATTGACACAGGGTTGCCACAAACCTTAAATCTGTAAAAAAACACATTCTCTGCAAAGCATGATAAAATGATGTATGCCTGTACGTTTCTTTACAAACTGTCTCCACTAGACAAAACACTTCAAAAGCAGGAACCATGTGGTGATTTCACAGATCCAGCATTTGGCACATAGTAGGTCTGTAAAATGGAATAAATGTATAAAAATGCAAGCTAATGAAGGAAGCAAGAAAAAGCATTACTAAAATCATTACCTTGGATTGTTTTTACAAATGTTCCTTTGACAGACTGAACTATTTATTGTTAGGGCCATCATAACTATAGACACTAGTGTCTGAGTAAACATTCCCTCCTACCCCTTACACTCAGTACAGGAACCCAGGCATAGTGACCACCTGCAATGACACATGCAATCAAAAATAAATCTTCCTGAAGCAAACAATCACCTTTTAATCAGGACCCTAAAGTTTAAGTACGTAGGTGTTTTTCCTAGAATGCTGGTTTTCCCTCTCCCAGTTCCATCAGAAACCTGGCTCTGCTGACAGCTCTGTGATGTCAGCATACTTGTGCTGCATACTTAATTCAATGTCAGTATACTTGTGCTGATATTTTTAAATGGCAACAATTCACTTTGGTAACAACATAAAGCCTAGAATATTTGTAATGATTACATGTATAATAATTATTATAAATACATAATAATGTTATATTTCCTAAAGCTGGATAAAAAATAAATGAGATAAAACAGGACAAAAAAAACCACTGTAGACAATTTTGGTAGTCAGCAGTTAACTTTCTCCCACTAATTAATCCCAAAACTGTTCAACAAAAGTAGGGCCTACGAAATAAGAAAGGTTCAAAATTTACTTATTAATTCAACAAATGTTTCTTAAAAAACTACTTTATACCAGCGTTTTTTCTGGGTGCTTAAGTTATGAAGGAAAAATAGGTGTAGTCCCTACCCAATTAAAGAGAGAAAAGAGGATGCTTTCACATGCAAAGGATTAAACTTTTAAAAAAGTTTGTTTCTGTAAAAGTTGCTTCTGACCTCATTTAATCTGAAAACTAAGGGTTTAAAGGGCCATCCAATTGGATTAAGGCAAAATGGACACGGAGGAGAGTGAGTGAGTGAGGATAACACCCTGACTGGTATCTCTAGAGGCAAGGAGGCTTCTGGAACCACAATGGGAACCTGGTTCTGTATATACCTACATGTACACAGATGAATTCAGGGTCTTGGTGATATTATCAGACGTAGATAAGGAGTAAGCACAGAAGCTGAAATATGTCTAGTGTTAAAAACACTAGGGGTTACACCTTTGATTTATGCAATATTTATATGCAAAAAAAATTTTTATAATTAAAATTGGCAAGCAAACAAAAAATATTTGATTTCTTCTCTGCTGAACATTGTTTTCCTTTTCTTCTGGTTAAAAGGTCCTATCTGCCTATCTTCAGATAATTCACCTAAGTTAAAGAACAGCAAATCTTACTACTTGTTCACTTTCAACAGCTGGTATCTTAATGCTCAGGTGCCACTTTAAGCCACATGGCCATCTCAGACTGACTAAAAAATCCAAACTTTCATTAATTTCTTTTGTTCCTATCTTTTTCTCTTTACCAAGCTCTAATTCATGGCCACAGGATTCACATAATCACTCTTCTTAAGAGGACATTCTCCCACACTCAGCACTGCACATTTATTACTATCATGTCTTCCTATTACTCCTTTTAACTAGAAGAGAAGCTGGCAGCCAGTGGGCATAGCTAGGCGAATAAAGTGTCCTAGGAGTGTCTCTGGGAACCCTGACTTAAACTCTACAAATCATAATTACATTTTCACTTCACAATGTTAAGTATTAAAAATGACAACAGACTTTTCCTCCTTGGAAACTAAGGAGTCTAAACTCAAGCTCTTGTTTTGAAGACTAGCTTCTTCAGCAACACTGCCATCCAGCCCCAACAACGGCCACGCAGAAGGGCAGCTTCAGTCGGGCCTCGGGAGCCTCTCGGAGCACCTTGCTTCCTCTTCAGTCCCCAGGGAGCGCGACACCGCCATCTACTGTCTTCGACTCAAAACCACCATTAAATTCTATCGAAGAAGCGTACTGCAATCTCATTTTTAACTATGAACTAGAACTCAATTTTACAATACAATGTCATGTTTATTCTAGAAAATAGGTAAACTGTTCTTATTGTTATGAGACCAATTTTGTTCTAAACAACTCCGGGCAGTGCTCTGCCCGTTTAATAATAGGGTTCATCGACTTTTCACCACCAAGACCTACCTTCCCTGGCAGCTGAGGACTGAGGACAATCAGGCAGGCCTCCACTGTGGCACCCATCACATGCCCATCACTCACGCAGATGTTACTAGACAGCTACCTTAGCTGCTGGTTCAACCCATGACCTTTCGGGGTATGAACAGTTAAAGTTCACAAGCAACCTTTCCTGCCCCCTGTATCCAAGAAAACCCTCAGGGTACTGATACCTCAGTGCACACAGTCAGACTCTTGCATGGTCAAGCACCTCCAGCTGACATCATGTGCAGTTTTTAGAGGAAGATAAAGGACAAGAGCAACCAGTCAGTTAAAATGCTATGCCTCAGGGGCAGGGGAGAGAGGCCAGCAGTATAACCAGCTACAGGCCACAGCTTTACCACAAACCAGAATTCCTGATGCAGGAAAGGACACAGATGAGTTTCAAATAGACCATTTGCTACTTTTCTCTTCTTTTACTCATTTTTATTTTCCCCCCAAAAGAGTGGATATAACTTCTTTACCCTAATTCTAAAAGTAATGCATGTTCATAATAAAGTCTGGAAAACAGAAAAGGGTAACAAAAATAAGATTACTCACTATTTGCATTTGGCATATACTTTTCCAGACTTTATATGTTGTGTATATTTTTTCAAAGAAATATGCGACACTATACTGTTTCATAAACCTTTCCACTTAGCAGTATGTAACAGACACCTTGACTAACAAATACATACCTATAGCACCATTTTGATGGCTGTGTTAGTATTCCATCAATTGGATATATACCGTGATTTGTTTTAGAAACCTCCTTAACAGAATGGTTCCAGTTTTCCTTTTAAATATGATGATCTTTATACAATTGTTCAGATATTTTTTGAAGATACATTTTTGGAAGCAGAAGCAGTGATGAAAGACCATTTGAAACTATCAACAGGATCTGAGTCAATCCACTAGAAGGTTCTAGCTCAAGAATGAAGAATTTTTTAAGTC